GGTGGGAGAGCGAGAGCAGTCGCTGCTGCGCAGCCCCGGGCTGCCGGGGACGGGGGGACAGCACTGCCCCACGCGTGGGACGCTGACGCCTTGAGTATAGTTACTCCAGCTAGGACTAAGGGCAAAGTAGCCTATTGTCTGTCTGTCTGTCTGTCCGTCCGCTCCTGACAGCAAAGGCTGGTTTCTCTTAGGACAAGACGAGCGCTCTGAGCCTCAGCAATGTTGCCGGGGTTTTCTATATCCTTGTGGGCGGCCTCGGGCTGGCCATGATGGTGGCGCTGATCGAGTTCTGCTACAAGTCTCGGGCCGAGTCCAAGCGAATGAAACTCACCAAGAACACGCAGAACTTCAAACCGGCTCCCGCCACCAGCACCCAGAATTACGCTACGTACAGAGAAGGCTACAACGTGTATGGCACAGAAAGTGTGAAAATCTAGGGGTACGGCTGCGGGCCGGGAACTAACACCCTCTGGGTTTCCTTCCTTCCTTCCTTCCTTCCTTCCTTCCTTCCTTCCTTCCTTCCTTCCTTCCTTCCTTCCTTCCTTCCTTCCTTCCTTCCTTCCTTCCTTCCTTCCTTCCTTCCTTCCTTCCTTCCTTCCTTCCTTCCTTCCTTCCTTCCTTCCTTCCTTCCTTCCTTCCTTCCTTCCTTCCTTCCTTCCTTCCTTCCTTCCTTCCTTCCTTCCTTCCTTCCTTCCTTCCTTCCTTCCTTCCTTCCTTCCTTCCTTCCTTCCTTTCTCTCTTTCTCTCTTTCTCTCTTTCTCTCTTTCTCTCTTTCTCTCTTTCTCTCTTTCTCTCTTTCTCTCTTTCTCTCTTTCTTTCTCTCTCTCTTTCTTTCTTTGCCTTCCTACCTTTCTCTCTTTCTTTCTCCTTCCTTCCTTCCTTCCTTCCTTCCTTCCTTCCTTCCTTCCTTCCTCTTTCTCTCTTTCTCTCTCTCTTTCTTTCTCTTTCTTTTCCTTCCTGCCTTCCTGCCTTTCTCTCATTCTTTCTCTTTCTTTCTCTCATTCTTTCTCTTTCTTTCTCTCTTTCTTTCTCTCTTTCTTTCTCTCTTTCCTTCCTTCCTTCCTTCCTTCCTTCCTTCCTTCCTTCCTTCCTTCCTTCCTTCCTTTCCTTTCCTTTCTTTCCTTTCTTTCCTTTCCTTTCTTTCCTTTCTTTCCTTTCTTTCCTTTCCTCTCTTCCAGCTGTGGGTGATATTTTGTTGAGTGCATCAGCAGACTGCTGCAGAGGACTTTGGAAACGTTCTCAAGAGTGTAAAAGTGATTTAAGTTTCTTCCCTGAACAGAAGCTTGATTCCATCCTGTATTGCCAGCAGGGATAGCTGGCCTCATGCTGGAGTGAGTAATGCCTCTCTCCAGCACTGTGCTAGGTCAGAACATATGAAAATATTTTGTTAATTGCTGTAAAAATTACTGTAATCAGAATTCGCTTCTCTCTTGCTAGTGACCTCTTCCCCTTTATTTTTGAAGCTATAATCAGGTCAGGTAAGTGCTTCTAGGAAGTCTCAGAAAAATCTACAAGAGAACAAAAAAGTCGACGCTAGAAATCACGGTTTCTAAAGCATGAAAAGTTCAGTTGAATTGCTGAAAAACGACTCTGGAAAAGCCTGGTGAGCCCATCGCCCACAGACTGTGCCTCTCCCCAGGCTGAGCTTCCCTGCCCCTCGGTGCTGAGCAGTGATGAAATCTTTCTGGTTTTGTTACAGATCCTCACCCTGACAGCACGCAAGAGGAGAAGCAGCAGAGAATGTGGCTACTTCACAGATTCGGACCACCTGAGCCAGTCGTACTCTCTCCGAGGTGTCAGGCATGACACACATTGATGATGGTGCAATGTACTTTTAATAGGAAAAACTGATATTTTTTCCTTCAGTGCCTTATGGAAGACTCTGAGACTCACAACAATGCAAACCATCACCGAAATATTCTTGCTTTGCTTGAAAGAAGAAGAAGAAGAAGTAAAAGAAAAAAAAAGAAGAAAAGAAGGAGAAGAAAAAAGAAAAGAAAAAGAAAAAAGAAAAGAAAAGAAATAAAAGATAAAATGAGAAAGAGAAAAGAGAAAAAGGAAAGGAAAGGACTGGTAACAAGATATTAGTGTGTGAAAAAAAATTCTTGTAAAAAAACCAGTGCAACAAAAGCCATTCTTTGATACCACTGCACAGTAAGTGAACTTGTGTCCTGGAAGCAAACCGCAGCCGGTTTCATCGGCCACCCCAAGCGTATCAAATTATGAAACTCCTCCTGACACAAAGCCTCAGAAATCTGCTGCGTGCGAACACGGACTGGCCTGTCACTGCTTGTATGAGCTGATGTCAAGATGTTTCAGTATTTACTTACTGGTGGTGTGATTTTTTTTTTTTTCCCGAGCCACTTTAAACTCTCCAGCTAATTTGAGCAATTCTGTATAGCCGTAAAAGGTGTAACACCTGAAGAAAAGAATCTGTGCATTAAAACCAGTTAAGGTCTATGACTGTGAATCTGTAAATCCAAAAGAAAGTAATTTGTGGAACTGCATGTCTTGCTTCCAGATCAGTAAATTAATTTCTTGACAAGGTAGCTAAAGTGCGGGCAGAAAATGCTGCTTTTTTTTTTTCCCCTCGATCATCAGGCATACCTCCAGGTGCTTTATTAAAATGACATTGGGTGGCTTCTTAAAAAAATAAAAAAAAAAAAGGAAAGCTACTTGCTGTTTAGGTTCAGACCATATATCTCTTTTCTTGCTGTGCATTTGCATTTTAATTCACTGTTTAATATCAAGCAATGAAGCAAGAGAAGCGCAGGTTAGTTTTTCGCAGGCCTGCTTGCGCCTCGCCCCAGTTCTCTCACAGCTGTGCTCAGCTAACGCTTCTCCGTCACGGGCATTTTAAAACAGAAGTAAGGGAAGAGGATAGTAACTCAAATTAGAGCTGCAGTTCCAGAGTAATGTTAAGCAATCTAACATGACTCCTGCTAGTACTGTTCTATTATCTCAGCTCCTGCCAACTCTTGTTTCATGGCCACGGTGGGAGGATGCTCCTGTCCTTGCCCTCTCTCTAAGGAGGACGCCGCGCTCCAGCCGCCGCCGCCGCGACAGGTAGGGGCTCGCCATTACTCACATCCGACGTCTTAGACAGCAGCAGCATTTCGGCCTTGAACCTCTGCCTGGAAACTACTTAACTTCATCTTTAAAAAATAAAAACAACAAAAAAAGACAAAAAAAAATACACCTTTAAACATATTGTCAATCACACGGGAAATGTTCAACGGAATATCTGCATACTAATTACCTCTAATCGACAATATGTATTTTCTGTAGTTTACTATAGAGTTTTATTTCATCAGTAACATACAATGAAAAAGAAACTCATTTAAACCAGTCTGACCCTTAGGCGTTTAGTTTGCTGATGATAGATTTGAACTTTTAATAGGATTAAAAAAAAAAGAAGAAGATTATACAGGAAAAGTCTTGTTAAAAATAAGTATTTCCGACAAAATGTAATATAAAATCATTTTAAAAGCTCATAGGAGAATAATTTATTGTTCGAGTTTTTAACAAGATATTGATAAAAAATTGTTGTTTTGTTTTCATTTTCTTTTCATGAAACTGTGATTTTTTTTTCAACTTCTGAACGCGATCACGTCCCCAGCAAGGGCAAGCTAAAGCTGTGCGGTTATGAGTTGTATTTAAAACAAACATTTTTCTTAAAAGCTGTATAAAAGATGTATGTTTATCAAATCAATTTTTAAGAGTGGAGGCTTCACAGCAGTGAAGGGAGTTTGGTAAATGGTTCGATATTTTTTAAACTTGCATGTAAAGCTAAAACAAAATGTGTTGAGTGCTTACCAATTCTGGCTACCAACTTCAAGCTATCGGAAGTTCGGCAGTAGTCTCATGATGATTTGTTTTGGTATATTTTTTTCGTTTGTTTTGCTTTGGGGGATTTTGGGGTTCTTTCCCTTTTCCTTTTTTCCTCCTCTTTTTTTTTTTTTTTTCTGTAATTTAAGTTCCTATTTTTGGTCGTTGAAACTGCACTTCAGTGAGCAGAAAAAATTGCCAAGCAAACTAATGGCTGTAAAAGCATAAACTGCATGTGTGGGCATCAATTACTGAGCCTCATTTTAATGAGGTGTTGTACAAAGAGTTTTAATACATTTTGTAAATAAAATTGTAAAGAAAAAAAAAAAAAAGAGCCCCCTGATCTTTTCAGCGGAGGAGAGAGGCCCTTTGGCCAGGCAAGCCTGTCTCTCTCCATTTGGGGTGCCCCACAGGTATTTAGCTTGGAGGTGCCACCGATGCTTCGCCCATAACGCTGAACCGAGGACGCTGCTGGGAAATACGGATTTCTGTTTTGGCACCCTGCAGACAAGCTAATTTTTGTTGTCTTGATGAGTGAAGCTGGTTGATTTTGGCCGGGTCCGAAGGACGCCCTGTGGGGAAGGAGCAGGGGAGAGCCCCTGGGTTCTGGAGTGGTTCCCCAGAGTGGGCAGCAGCGTGGGGAAATAGGTTTCACAGATGTTGACTGTACAGATGTATTTTCATAGAATCAAAGAATCTTTGGGTTGGAA